CACTTGCACTTTAAAATAACACAACCTTGTTTCTGCAAGGGCTTTCAGCATGTTTTCTACAAACAATGTCTGACTTATTTATGTTTAACGTGGCGTGAGGACATGAAAAAACTACACGAAATCCGATCTGAGCGATCACATATGCTAAATATGATTGGATTTAATCGGATATGCACAAAAATTGGATTTAAACTGACAGTCTGAACAAGACATAATATCCTAGAAAGCACCCAGAACACCTTAGCAACACCCTAGTAACCACCTGGTCAGCCTAATGCCTAAAGGCTAGCCTAATGTCCCAGAAAGCACATAGAACACCTTTACAACACCCTAACAACCACCTAGCCATGCCCTAGAAAGCACCCAGAGTACCTTAGCAACACCCTAGCAACTATCTAGCCAGCCTAATACCCCAGGAAGCACCCAGAACACCTTTACAACACCTTAACAACCACCTAGCCATGCCCTAGAAAGCACCCAGAGTATACCTTAGCAACACTCTAGCAACCATCTGGCCAGTCTAATACCCTAGAAAACATCCAGAACTCATTAGCAACACCCTAGGAACCACCTGGCCAGCCTAATGCCTCAATCAGAATCAGAATGCCTTTATAATCATTGCACAGCATAAAGGCCAACCTAATGCCATAGAAAGCACCCAGAACACCTTAGCAACACTCTAACAACCACCTAGTAATGCCCATAGAACCCTGTATATCAACACTATAGCCACCACCCAAAACACCCTAGCATCAAGGCATGCAGCACTCCCATTTTCTTCAGTAAATGTAAAATCTAGTTCAGATACTTCTTATATTTCTTTGGTCGGTTTCCACCAGAAATCTTCATAGGAGCAGAGCAGCTTCGAGAGGGACATGATCACCCACGCCATGCTCCTCATGAAACCCTTCATCCTCAGACATGTGAAGAGCGAGGTGCATCTGCATGCAGAGTCCATAAGCATTGTGCATAATGCATGTGCTCTCAGAATGCATGCCAGTGTGAAAATCTGTTGGACAACATCTCAAATGCATTAGTCAGTCTCACGAGCAGATGAGGCACTTTGCGTGTCGTGCTGACCCTCTGTGGCTCTAGGGCACTCGAGCAGTTCACTGACAGATGATGTGCCCAGCAGGTCGTGAAGCAGCTGCCTGCCAAAGAGGAGCAGGTTGAATTTTGTGCTATGTCCGAGAAGCAGCAGGAACTCTACAGCGCTCTTTTCCACAAACTGAAGTGCTCCAGTAATGGGGAAAGTATGTATTTGAAGGAGATGTTATATAAAGTACTGGCTTCAGTATATGTGAATCATAGTTTATGAAGCATGTCTTTCTGCAGAACGCGAGCTGACCAATGTGATGATGATGCAATTGAGGAAGATGTCCAACCATCCGCTCCTTCACCGGCAGTATTATACCACAGAAAAACTCAAAGCTATAGCAAACTCATGCTTAAGGTTTGAGATATTTTTGTATGAAGTGACACATTGTGATTAACGCAGCAGGAACTTTAGACCTTAGCAGGCCCAGATCGAATCAGTGGGCTTTTTTACATTTTCTGCTCTGATTTTAAGTAGGCCAACTGAGCTCAGATTGCCAGACTTTTGACTATCAACATTAAGTCTGATACCGTTTTTGGCTTATTCTGTCCAAGAACTGCCATTTATACATGAAGAGACCGTCTGACCGGCGTGAAAATTGACCACGGTTTCTTTTAGTTGTTTAGGGGAAGGTTTATCTAAAATAGATTATACCACAAAAATAGGCTGCTGTGGAAAATACTCATTTAATAAATTTCAGAACAGTGTTGGTCCACAAACAGCTGTACAGAATTTATTTTTTAATAAAATGTATGAATATTATGCAATGACAAAAAGTATTGAACAATAAAAATATATCTTATATTTTATTATTGTTGTTTTTATTTTTGAATTGATAATATTTATTATTATTATTATTCTTGGTCACATTGGTCTATGAACAGCTGTACGGAAAATAATATTTTTTTATAATTACAATATTATTACTATGAATTAATCTTTATGAATATTATACATCAATAAAAACAATTGTTGAACAACAGTAAACACTGCAGGAATACCAGCTCCACACAGACTCGGGGAAGCTCTGCCTCCTCGCACAGCGGCTGAACTCTCGGAAGGGGAAGGTTTGGGAAAACAGATTCCTGGTATGTTCGGCAGACTAAATTACATTTTCAACAACCCCTTAGAGTATAATGAAAGTTATTTAACAGTACAGAGAAATACACTGTTCCAAATTACACCATACTGTCACCTATAGACGTAGTATGTACTTGGTTACAGCACACAGTAGACGACAGTTATTCCAAATCGTATTACCTTCTTTCTTCTTTGGAACACAAAAGCAGACATTTCACAGAATGTTCACGCTGCTCTTTTCCATTCAATGAATTTGACCATGTCGTCCTCTCATTTCCAAGACATGATCACGGATCGTGTCTCCTTCACTGACACAGTGTTCTCCGTCCGTGTCCTTGAAGACTTTGTCTGTCTTAGTTTCACAGATACAGACTTCATGTTCTGGCCAAGAACCACCAGTTTAGACAGGAAGAGACCATCTGTTTCGTCCTGTGAAGATGATTGTTCTTGTTTTGTGTTCTGTGCTGCCATTGTTTTGGTAGCATGGACGAGTTTTTGTTTTGGATTTTGTTTGCTAGTAGCTGTTTTGTTTGACAATTTGTCCTTTGGACAACCTAATGTAATTATATATTTAAAAAAATCATTTTACAAATCTATAAATGCACATTATCAAAAATGACTTCTTTGTTAATTATTATAAGATTTTTATTTTTTATTTTTTTATTGATTTTTGTGTGTGTGTGTGTGTGTTTCTGACAAAAGCCCCTTATGCTCATTGAGGCTGAATTTATTTGACAAAAAAATGCAGTAAAATCAGTATTATTGTGAAATATTCCTACAATTTAAAATATATTTCTGTTGTTAACAATAATAATAATAGTAATAATAATATCTGATCATATATATTCAAATGTAATTTTCAGCATCATTACTCCAGTCTTCAGTGTCACATGATCCTTCAGAAATCATTCTGATATGCTGATTTGCTGCTCAAGAAACATTTATTGTTATCAATGTTATAAACAGTTGTGCTGCTTCATATTTTTGTAGAAACCATGATACAGTCCCCCCCCCAGGGTTTTTTGATGAATAGAAAGTTCAGCATTAATTTGAAATAGAAATGTTTTGTAAAAGTTATACATCTTTACTGTCACTTTTAATCAATTTAGTGCACCTGTGCTTGCTTAAGTATTAACTTAATTCTTTCACACAAAAAAACCCCATAACAATATAGTGTATATGTGCTCTTTAAAAGATAATCTTCTGCTATCCATTTAGTCCAAGTTAGTAGATGATGATCTAATTCTCAAAATAGATGAAAACAATTAAATACCTAATAATAATAATTAACTATTAACTGTAATTTGTGATAATGAAATAAAGGGGAATTACCAAAATGTAAATTAACTAGCCATACTTCATTCTGTTTCATTCATGTAGGTCACCATCCTGCTCTCCCACCATTGTTTTCTTGGCCGGAGCACTTAACCTCATGATCCACAGGGACTTTTGCTACTGTTAGCGTACTGTAAATCACTTCAGATGGGAAAAAAGGTGACTTCTTATAGCCGATTAAGTAAATGGACAGTACGTGTAAATCTCATTGGGCTTTTACAGAATTGGACTGATTGACCAGTTCAACACAGACCAGGATATATCTGTGTTCCTGCTGTCCACCAGAGCCTGAGGACTGGGCATTAACCTGACTTCAGCCAATGTGGTAGTCCTTCACGATATTGACTGCAACCCTTACAATGACAAACAGGTGGAGGGACGCTGCCACCGGGTGGGACAAACCAGGTAAGAGACACTGGACATGTGTGTCTCACAGTAGGCTTTCCTTTTGTTTCACTAGAGTCTGTCTTAATGCTTTTATATCTGAATGCATTTGTCCCATTTAAGGACGGTGAAGGTGATCAAGCTGATAAGTAAGGACTCCATAGAAGATGCCATGCTCCGCAATGGAGAAAGAAAATTCAAACTAGAGCAGGACATGACCGCAAACTTAGGAGGGTGAGAACACTTTAATAAAGGTCACAGAGAAATCACCTGTGTTTTTTTGTTTTTTTTTTAATTAATACAAATATGCTTGGTTCTTCCAGGTGAAGAGGACACATTACCTGAAGTTTCTCTAGGACTCTGAAAGCTGGCTCAGGCACAAAGCGTACTGTGATATGACACTTGACTGAATCTGAAAGAAAAAAAGGTACTGTAGCACGCTTAAGTTAGATTTTTCTATGCTGCTCGCAAACACGTGAGGTTCAAAGGAGCAGATATGTTTACATTTCTACTAGCTCATCGGTCTGAAAAGCGAGGTGTGCTGTGATTGGCCAGCTGTCCAGTGCGTTGTGATTGGCCGAATACCTCAAGCGTGAGACGGAAATGTTACGCCCCTCACCATATTGTGATGCCCTGTCCGGCCGGAGCGATGAGACAAAAACATTAAAACCCATTATAAACGAGGCATTTATTGCATCCAGTGGGGACATAATTATTGATTATAATGACTTATACTGTCTTTTTACGCGTTGCGTTGCATTGCATCGCGCCGCGTAAACATAAAACCCTGTCTGCATTTGTGATCGGAGAAATGACAAACAACAAGCGCTACTCTACACTGCTCAAAACTCACGTTTGAATCATCAGTGGTAAATCCTTCATTAAGTAATGAGCTTTTCGGAAATGCTGAATCAGTTGAACCAATTGCTTCACAAAATGATTCACTCTTCCGACGTTTGATATGCTCTGTGAGCCATTGGTTTTGAAGCTACATGAAGCAGTGTTTCAAAAGCACCCTTCACTACAAACACTTTATCAGATATTATCAGAAGCTACATGTTTACTTTGGTTCTCTTATATAAATTTTTTATTGATCTTGTTGACAGGCTCTAGAAGGGTTTTTCCAGGAGGACGAACAGGATGCCCTTCACCTCAAGAACAACATCCCTCCGCACATGCCCAAAAGAGGCCAACAAGCATCTCTGCAAGGGTATTTCCTGTTTTTGGGTTTCTTTCCCAACTATACCACAGCGGGATGGTGCCTTATTCAGTTTGCCTCATCATTAAGAAGCACAAAAAGCATGAACCACCTCAACCGGTTTGACTGAAATTGATGAGTTTGGCTTTTTGTGTTGTCTTCAGAGGAGGACAGGTGGCAGTTCAGAGCAGGCAGGCAGATGCGCCACCCGCCCCTCAGGAACAGGGTCCACCCAGGAAACCTCAGCGTAACCAGATCAAAGAGATGGAGTTCATTACCGTCCCAGAGTTTGACAGCATACCACCGTGAGTCCTTCCACGTCTGTCTAAACAAAGTCTGTGAGCAAATATGGTAAAGAACAGTAAACAGTAGCTCTTTTCCAAAGCCCAGTGAGCCGCCTGCCTAGACAGCATTGTAGGCGCGATGCTGTTGCAAAGGCGGTTTCGAAAGGTAGGCTACCATCGGAGATACCGTCTTTTGGCAGTCCCAGAAAACACTGTGACATGATTATTGTTCAGTAACAAAAACATATGGAAAGACTATTTTTCTGTTTTACCTAATATTTATGTGCTATACATTTTTGATTATAGCATGCTGTTAGCTTCATAACATTTTGTTTTTTACACCCAACTTTATAGAATGCAACAGTGGCAAGTATTTTACTCATTCGTTTTTCCCATAGGGATTTTAAAAAAGTCCTAAAGAGTTTAGGCCATGACAAGGTGCTTTACAAACTTTTATTTGAAGCAAAAAAAGGGTACAAGACTGTGTACTTCACGGCTTTAGTGATGGAAATAACTACAATCCCATGAAGCATTGCAAATCACAGTCAAATGATAGTGAAATATAAAACTATTCATTTAAAGTTGTTGATTATATCTATAGAGCCAATATGTTGTTGTACTGTTTTCTGATTGGTGGAGATTTCTTTGCAGAATCATGGGTAATGTAGTTTTCACTGTTTAATGCGATTGTTTAAAAAGTATGTTGAAATAATGTGGGCTGATGTCTTAAACAAAAGCATAAACCATCGATTAACAATCTCGTAGCTCACAGTAGGTCTGTTTTTAACAATTTATTTAACAAGTTATTGTTAACAATCAATTCCCCTATGGAGAAATTAAATGGGATTTTTACTTCCGGAACTCAGCTGTTGCACTTTATTCAAATCAATGGTCGGGTACAAAGTGCTAGTTGAGTGCTGAGTTGCTACAGTACCTATGTAGAATAAACTGGTTACTTATGACGATTCATTTTGGTTAGGAAAGTAGTTACCAATGTAGGCAGTCGAAAGCAAGAGAGCTCACTAGGTTTTGGAACAGGAATGCCATGGTTAACCAATCAGAACCAAGCATCTCAGAGAACAGTTGTAATGAGGTTATGTTTTAATTCAGCATCTTTCAGATGTTTGATCAAATTCCCATGCAGTTTATTCATTTGATCCATTTCTTCATCTTCTCTTGTGTTGTCACAGGTACATGAAAGGCCGTGTGACGTATGACCAGCTGAACGCAGCGGTGCATGTGAAGATGAATCCGACTCGTCAACTTTACCCTGCATTTCTCACCCAAAACTCAACCAAGCATGAAAAGTTACATATCAACTAAGTTAGGCATTTCTGTTCTTGCTTTGTCATCTTCATTTGTTAGAAAGACATAAAGGCTCTATGTAGAGGATGCTGCATTTGCACATACAATGACGAGGGCTTTAAGAGAACTGGTTGGCCAACTGTTACATTACATCATTGTTGGATTGTCCAGTTTTCACAAACATTTTTCCGTTTTTGCAGGCGAGAAGCCCTGTGCTTGTTGCAGCCATTTTTATATCAGGAATGGGAGGAACCTTTCAATATGGCTTCCATATCTCTGTCCTTAACTCACCATCACTTGTAAGTACTTGCGTTGTTCGGTTATAAAGTGTCTTAGACTGATTTACTGTCTCTTTTGAGCTGCAAATCGAGGGGTTGGAGGTAGTCCGTATTAATCAAATGCATTTCTGCCACTGTCATAAGATGAGACATCCCCAAAGAATCGATACATATCAGAGCTTATGAGTTGGTGCTAACCTGTGAAACGCTGTGGTTCAATAAAAGGAAATCAAAGACATAATCAACTGAGACTTGTGCTTATATTGCAAGTTTATTAAAGAGCTGGTGAACAGCACCTGCCAGCAGCATTATGGACGCTCTCTTGAGCCCTGGGAGCTGTCCCTCATCTGGTCCTTCATTGTGTCCATGTACTGCATGGGAGGACTGGCTGGAACCCTGTATGCTGGACATCTGGCAGGAGCGTATGGAAGGTACTGGAAGTGCATCCATACAGCAGACATCCTAGTCAGGTCATAGGCTGATGCTGAAGAATGTTACAGGGATAGTTCACCCAAAAATGAAATAATATCCAGAAAAGAAAAGAAAAAAATAGATAACATCAGTGTTTGCTGCTCAAGAAACATTTTTTACGATCAGTGTTGAAAACAGTTGTGCTGCTTGATATTGTTTGGAAAAATTTCAGGATCCTTCGATGAATAGAAAGTTCAAAAGGACATACGTTATTTATTATTTGAAATACATTTTTTATAACATAAATGTATTTACTGTCATGTTTGATCAATTTAATGTATCTTTATAAAGTATTAATTTCTTTTTTTTTAAAATGGTAGCGTAACAAGGTTGATTTAGGTGCTTACATGGATCCTTCCATATTTCTGCATTTTCAGAAGCATCTGTGGTATTGAGCATTCTTAGTACATTTTTTATAACATTATAAATGTATTTACTGTCATGTTTGATCAATTTAATGTATCTTTATAAAGTATTAATTTCTTTTTTTTTTTTAAATGGTAGCGTAACAAGGTTGATTTAGGTGCTTACATGGATCCTTCCATATTTCTGCATTTTCAGAAGCATCTGTGGTATTGAGCATTCTTAGAGTGTGAATCAGTAACCAAATGGCAGCAATTCAACGAGTAACATGGGCTTTTAATTCCAGAATTGACCTGAAATGATGCTAAGGGCAACAAACAGCCACTGATATTTCTTCAAAACAGTCTAACCTACATTAATGCTCTCCAGGTTCTGTTCTGTTCCAGTAACCCAACTGACGCAGCAAAAATGAAAAATGTTAATGTTCTTGCTAGGTGTAATATCTCTTACACTGATAGTTCACCCAAAAATTATGTCATCATTTACTCACCCTCATCTTGTTACAAACCTGTATACATTTATTTTTCTTCATAAAAAAAAGATGTTTAGCAGAATGTTGCTACTGTATTCCAAGCAGTTAAAGTAAATGGTGACCAGGAGCTGGCAAGCTCAAAAAAATGACAAAATGCACCATAAAAGTAGTCCGTATATGACTTGTGCACTATATTTAATGTATGGCTTTAAAATACAGCCCCTGGTTACCATTCACTTTTATTGAATGGTAAATAGCAGCATGAACATCCTGCCAAACATCTCTTTTTCATATGGGTTTGGAATGCCATGAGGGAGAGTAAATGATGACAACATTTTCTTTTTTTGGTAAACTTGAAATTTGTGGTTTTTAAATTCATGTACAAGGAGCAGCAAATAAGTACAGTGTGTTTTTAACCCTCCATAGGAAGACAACTCTGCTTTTGAACAATGTGGTGGCAATCTGTGGAGCTGTCCTGATGTTGTTGAGTAAAACCGCCCTCTTGTTTGAGATGATCATGGTGGCACGTGTCCTATACGGCATCAACGCTGGTGTGTTGGAAAATCTGTAAATGCATGCGAATGTCTTTTTAATTCTGTGCTGTTTTTCTATATTAACTACTTGAGTGCTATCTGTGCAGGTGTGAGTTTGACTGTCCACACCATGTATATATTGGAGTGCGCCCCCAAGAGGCTGCGTGGGATGGTTGGTGTGTCTGTGGCCACTTTTGTCTCAATGGGGAAGTTTTTTGGCCAGCTGCTTGGGATCAGGTGTGTCATTAACAGCAGGTTTATCTTCCTTGTTACATTCGCTGTCCATGTGTTAACCAAACACTTGAACTTTTAAAGATTTAAACTTTAAAGCTTGGGTTTTGAGTGTGATTTGGGGGGGTGTGTGTGTCAGTGAGGTGTTAGGCGCTGAGGAGCACTGGGTCTGGCTGCTGGCCTTCAGCGGGGCGGCTGGTCTCCTGCAGCTACTAACTCTGCCCTTTCTCCCTGAGTCCCCACGGTACCTCCTGCTGGAGAAGGCAGACAAACACGGCTGTGAGACGGGTCAGAACCACAGACACCTCCTTTGACATTTACACATACATTTATATTTCTTACAAAATTAATCTCAAATCATTTGTTCAAAATGTGGGGCCATGTCATGGGAAAACAGTACATTACTGTTAAAGATTTTTTTTGTTTTCAAATTAAATTTTTATGTTTGTGTTCTAATGTTTTTAGACATGTTTTAACTTTGTTTAGTCAAATATCATTTTCATATATATATATATATATGTCTGCTAAATGTAAAATGTAAATATATACAGTGTGTGTGTATATATATATATATATATATATA